AATGACTGTAATATTTTTTCTGTCTAAGAAGAAATATTAACATCAAAAATGTGGTGCACACTGAATAACCCGCGTAGCCGTTTATTTTAAAGTGTGCACCACATTTTTTATGTTATTTCGAATAGACAGAAAAAATATTACAGTCATTTCTTATAATTTAATTCTAAATTCCATTTTAAACCTGAGTAAACCATTAAAAAACGTTGATGACGTCAAGGTCACATGACAAAATTATGTCTATGAGCTGATAAACAAAACAACGTCAGCCAATCAGAAGACGCGTTACATCCAAAATTAAATTATAGGGTAATATCATTAATACGGAATTTTTTTCGATTTTTTAATCTTATTATTCATTTTTCTTGAAAAGGGAACAGTACTTATAAAAATGAATAAAAGCGGACAGCAATCCAACTCAATAAAATAGAAAAATACATCCAAAGGAAACATTTATTACACATGTACGTTGAAGTCATATAAACCTCTGCATGGTACTAACACCTCGCCCGGAAGTCGTAATACCATTGTGACTCGATTAATTGTCCAATCAAATACGTAGTACGTGACTTCCGTCCTCTTTTCTGTTAGCTCTTATACCACGTATGTGTTTGACTAGAAATGTTGGATTTCATAGAAGAAATGGCTCTTTATATAATCCTCCAAAAATTAAGATAATAATGATGCTATCTTACACTCCTAAAAGAAGCTCTAAATCGTCTACTCTAGTAATACTTTATTCTAGTGACAAGGAAAAAAACGGAATTTCAAGTTTTTAGTAAACATGGATAGTTGTCTTATTAGCAATCAAACCACTTCTCCTTATTTTTTAATAAGGATTTGCAGGTCTTTATATCGACGCATATAAGAACCGTCTCCATCTACTAATATTTGTGACTTTCTACCATTATTTTATAGTCTAGTAGGTTTATGAGTCGAATGTATGTTACATGTTTGGCATCCTTGTCTTGGAAATCATACCATAATGATAGAGATCTTCAGTAAGCAACAAGTTGTTTGATAATTTTTGTTGTTTGTGATGTAAGAGTTATCACAAGAATGTAAGTAACGATAAACATGCATCATTCATTAGCATCCCAGAGGTTTTATAGCATTATAATACTATAGTGACATTTTTATTGATGTTTCCTTTCTTCAGAGTATTCAAAATGTCGGTAAGATACAATAGAATGATAATGATAAATCATATCTTGATACAACAATACAATAAGAACGACTCTTTATAAATGAATGTCTTTTCGGATGCCAGAACGAAGAGCAACAGATCAAGAAATGGCGGCAAAATCTACGCGCCAACAGAGAAGATGGCGACAGGCAGCCGGAAAGAATCTTTGCAATCTCAAATCGTATATCCATTGACAAACACACTGATCCAGAGATTGATTGTGTATTTGTAGTAAGTTGTATTTAGTAAATTAAGCAGATAAGATGAGATAACAGCTCGTTAGTTTTTACAAATTTTATCACGTGTACATATAATACTGTCATATTGCGCGTGGGGTAGTGATATACGAGATATCATTTCCGATATGGACCATCAATTCGTGTGTTGAAAAAAGATAGCAAGTTTTTCTTCGTATTTGAGGCTTTTTTTTATTTATTTCTACAAAAGAATCCAGTACTGAGAAGGTTAAATTGTCCGAGTGAAAAGATAATTTGGTAAAAGTAATCTTTGTTAATTAGATAACTTAACTCGCTGCTTGAAGAACTGATAATCCTAAAAATTCGTGCAATGTTACGAAAGTTTCAGTATGAAAACGCCAGTTGTTGAAGTAAGGATGATTATTAAAAACAGCGGATAGAAAACATTTGTAATAATTTGTTGTTTGTTTGTTAATTAAGAAGAAAACGTAATTATCCTTTGCAAGAAGGAAACAGTTAAATTGTCAGTAAAAGGATGAATTATGGCCATTTTGTCCGCTTATATCGATCAAAATAATAATAGTAATCGTTGTTTTAAAATATTCAGACATTTCTTCTTTCAATTACTTAAAATAATATACGTACCTCTCCAATGTTATATAATTGTATGCAGTAAAATGGGTATCAATTTCAAAATGAAACAATAATCAAGTATGATGAATTGTTATGATGATGAAAGAATACTGGTTCATATCTATGTGTGAACATGCCAATTTATACTGAATTTAAAGTTTACTTTTATTTTACTTTAAGCATTAGCATCAACTGAAATACAGATGTCATGATCGACATTTCAATTTCAAATTTTGGACAAGGTGCGATTAATTACGGACCTTATTTGGCCTAATAATGTACTGAAATTCGAACTTTTTGATTTAAGATTTCCATTGATGTCTGTTTTAAAGTTGAGGTACTACAAAATTGAATCAGGTAGTTTTAGATCGAGGAAGTCACGGAAAATACCAATCTACGCGTCTTCGTGAAAAATACATTGCTTTTGGTCAATTTACAGACAGTTTTTCGAAGTGGTAATATAGAGAACATGTATGTTTCAACTTCAAAAAATACCATATTGTTTGTTTATATGAACAACACTTTTCATATAACTTATGTTTTGGTGCTTGCATGTGCTTAATGTTTCCCACTCACAAATATGCCCAGTTTGAAGATTTTGTCATTTTTGGAAAAATAATTTGAATTATGCTATCTTTCTACCGTCAAATCTCAGTGAATATTCATACTTTTTCAGAGATGTTAAAATTTACAGTTTGCCAATACTTATCAATTATCTTTACACTAAAATTACCTAATTTTGTAATCATATATACTTTAATTTTCTAGGTTAAATAGAACCCTAGCTTAGCGCACCTCGTCCTTTCTCGTTACTATTATCACAACAGGTATCACGATCCGAAATCCGCGGAGGGATCCGAATCACGAGGAGCAATTACACTAAAAATACGAACGGTGGGTAGGTTAAATCTAAAACTGATATCAAGCGGAGGATTATCATGGCTCCTCCGGAGTTGGATCCAGATTTTACTTGTGTAATTTAATTGTTTAATGTTTAATTTCGTAAAAGACCAATATTCCATCATTTTGAGACCTGTCTTGTATTCTTTGCTTTCTGATCATGTTATCAACAATTCCAATGTTAAACACGTTTGTGATATTATTTACCGTTAGCTGTCAATGACTATTTGATTCCCACAGACGTTAATCCACTATGTAAATCGTAGTCGCGATCATGATTCGTCTGGTGCCTATTATAATGTATCGATTTCCTTTTTCAATGAATATAAAAATAAGAATATGTGGTGTGATGGCCAATGAGATAACTTTCTTTCCACCAGAAACCAATTGGTATAGGCGTTCGAAACTATGTGTCACCGTACGGCCTTCAACAATGAGCAAAACTCATACCGGATAGCAAGGATTAAAAGGCTCCGACATAACAAATGTAAAACAATTCAAACGAGAAAACGAATATATGTAAAAAAAACAATGAACGAAAATCAAATATGATATATAGCAACAAGCGACAACCACAGAATTACAGACTCATGTAATTTACCAATTTATATTAAGGCAATTTATTTTGAATAATGAATGCAAAAAAAAAAATGAAAGAATATTGACATTAATAAAAAAAATGTCCTTCACGTCACGTCGTTTGATTTCATTGAGATTATGATAAGCAAAAATCACGTACAGACAATTCAAAACACTGAAAACAATTCAAACACTGAAAACAACTCAAAACACTGAAAACAATTCAAAACACTCAAAACAACTCAAAACACTGAAAACAATTCAAAACACTGAAAACAACTCAAAACACTGAAAGCAATTCAAAACGCTCAAAGCACGCTCAAAACACTGAAAGCAATTCAAAACGCTCAAAACACTGAACGCAATTCAAAACGCTCAAAACAACTCAAAACACTGAAAGCAATTCAAAACGCTCAAAACAACTCAAAACAATGAAAACAATTCAAAACACTGAATACAAAACCAAAGTACACTTATAAAGATCCAATTTTGATTTCACAAGGAGTTTTAAAACACCTATTGTTACAACACTGACCGAGATTAAAAGGGTGGTTGAGAAAGAGCACCTGAAATCTCCCCGGTTATTTGTGGGGTTCATGTTGCTCAGTTTTGGGTTATCTATGTTGAATTTTGTGTACTGTTGTTTGTCTTTTTGATGTTTTTCGTTTTTTCCCACGGAGTTGCCAGTTTGGATGTCCATTTGGTATCTTTAGCCTCTCTTTTAAAAAAATAAGTTGACCCAACCAAACGTTATGGTACCTCATTAGAGTTGTCTTCGGTACTATCTTGAAGGTTCATGCTATTCAAAGAATTGGTGTTGATAGAAGACCCAGTATGGATTTAGTTGATATTCCTGCAGGGCAGTTTGCATAATGTATAAGCTTACTAACTTTTATTTAGTGTCAGAGCCATATGAAAGATATTCACCACTTGTTACATTATGAATTAAATGATTATATAATTCTTGATTGAAAAGGTATATAGGATGTTAAGATAACATGAACCTTCATACCAGCGATTTAAATATATGATCTGTTTCATTAACACACAAGACATTATGAATGAAATATAGTGTATAAATCTTGACGGAGATGTATAACTATCAGTACAAGCGGTTTCAATTAAGAAGTGAGAAACTAAGGATGAAATAGAATTCGAATACAAATATTCGGTTCAATGTTACAGAAACAATAAATGTGTAACTCTGTAACTGATTATGATACCACACAAACATCAAACAAAAAAGATGTATCATTAAACATATAAATCAACAGTTGAGATATAGCACATACTAGACAAAAAAATCTATCTTTATATTCATTACATAGAGGTCTACTATTATAGACAAAAATATCTTTTTTAATTCATTATTCGTTTTTTCAAAAGTTCAAATTTCAAATTTCGTAAGAATAAAAAAGGGTCGCGTATGTCCTGAGTAAAAAAAATACTTTCGCTAATTTTATAATTAGTTAATGACACTACTTTAATTAAGGTATGGACAATCTTACCTCATCGTTGGCGCTTAAATTAGAGAAACTATCTGCCGTCTGCTCCTTGTAATCGTTATTTTTATTTTTTGCAATACATCCAATTGTCAAAAATGTCACAAAAATCACAAACGTTACATTGCTCATCGACACCATAACTACAGTATAAAAATCAACTTTATAATAAATTAATCGTTCTTTTTCTGTGTTTTATTATCATCCAAAATCAATTGTTTGTATTGGTAATTTATAATTATCCATTTTGTCCAATTTTGTTTCTATTTCAGAATCTTCACTAGTATTTAACTGAAAAACATCCAGAATTAAATATTTAAATTGAAATAATTGATACTTGACTATCTAGTACCACAGCGACACACTTAATAACTAGAATGATTATTCTGTAAAGAAGTAAACGTTCAATGCACATGAATCTCTTGAAATCTTTGTATTCAATCGTCAATTCGCCAATCAGAAAAATCGCACCTCTCTTGCCCTTGTCCAATTATAACAACGGTCTTTCTTTGTAGTCAATCAACTCTTCATTTTGCTCGCCTGTTTACATAGGAGTTGTATTGTTGTGTACCTATAAGATTAAGGAATGATGCAAATAAACGTTTTTAAGACAGAATGAAATACAATTACAAAAGGAATCAATTTCACATACAAACAAAAAGTCATTTACGCCTTTTTCACATTTAAAGTAAACTAACCCAAACAAACAGTATCTATTTAGAGAAATTTGAGTTTTATTTATTGAGCAGTTGATGTAAAAGAAAAATTCTTCAAAGCCTTGATCTCTCATCAATATTAATAGTAGGTATTTAATCAAAAATTGGCGAAAATTGTTTGTCAAAATATTTCAATATAAACTTTCAGATTGTGTTATTTATCGGTGTTTTATATACGGTTGCAATTGATTTGTAAAGGTGGATTATAATAGAAGAAAATTCAAAAGAAACGATATTTTATAGTTGTTTGTATGTTAGTATTTGAAGATTAGCGAAGACTAAGTGGGGGCCGATATGACAGTTAAGAATAAACAATATTCTTATTAACTCAATCAATTCACACTGGAATGTATTGTATCTTTATACGTTTATTTAAATGAACACAATCTTATTTAATCACCTAAGAATTATGATAAAGAGATATTCCTTTCTCATCCCTTCTAACTCTTTTTTTTTATTCTTTACATGTTTTGCTATAATTTCAGGAGGATATACGTCTAAATAAGTGACAACTAAACGACAGACGATCTCTATCGAATAACTAAGAATTTAGAGTTATACAAGGCTAACACTACAAATTACAAATAATTCGTTACAAGTTTATCCCAACAATGTAACAGCTGCAAATAAACGGTAACAAATAGTGACTTTCTTCAATTTGATTTGAATCTGTGCTTCTGTAACATTGTGGCAACACCTCCTCTTTGTGTTAAGCGCTCTAGACAACTCGGTCATATAGACCATGTGAAAAATATTACTTTCGTGTGTGGAGTAATGTCTTTCTTCGTACATGATGTATTGTGGCATGACCTAGCAGATTAGCTTTATTTTTCTTGTCGCAAATGATGATAATACTTAAAACAAGCAGTCGCACCAATATTATTTTATTATACAGGTCTTTATTTTGCTTGTCGCAAATGATGATAATACTTAAAACAAGCAGTCGCACCAATATGTGATAACTTTAGACGACATACGTTCTCCATCTGATAAACTAGGGATATAAAGCCTTAGGGTTACTACACCAGTTAACTTATACTACACTGCACAAATTTAGCCCAACAAATGTAAAAAGATAGTAAAGGCATTGTTTAAACTCGTAGCATGTTCATGTGCCTGTCTCAATAACATAAACGGTACCAATTTTTATGCACCAGATGCGCATTTCGATAATTAATGTCTCTTCAGTGATGCTCGAGGCCGGAATATCTGATAATCCAAAACCTAAAAACGCTGGAAGAGCTAACAGGACCTAAAGTATAGCTAAATCAGTACAAGGAATCAGAGCTTTGCATGAGAGAGATATATTCCTTAATTTAAAATGATTGATTTCAAAATTTCTATCTAACAATATCCGTATTTTCATGCCAGTACTTTGGATCCTCGCAAGTGGCTGTCTTCTGGTATATCTTAACGTGTTTGTTGTTAGGTGTAAATGACAAAAATCTCTTTGGATGACGGAAGAATAACTAGAACAGAAAACAGAACGGAACGTTGTAATTTTTTTGTAAACGAAAGGCGGACACATCGTTTGTATTTCAATCAAATTGTAGTTATACTGAAGGCTTACGTTTCTTCTTTTGGTTATAGCCCTGACGTTGCTACGTATTTATATATCTAGGTGGTCGTAGTCCGTTGACTTTTTTCTCCTCTGAAACTACTTGGCCATAATCACCCTTGGGGTATCTTTCCTAGTGGTTACTCGTCATTTTTTCAGCATCAAACACATCATGATCGGGATAACGATTGATTTTTAACTGTTAAATGTCGGTGGTAACCAAAACGTCATTTGACGACAGACGGTATTGGAGACCTCCCCCCCCCCCCCCCCCCCACTCCCCGTGTATTGTAAGCACCTTGTATATTGATACTGAAATCATGAGCATAAATATGTGAGAACACAGACATAAAGCCGGTTTCTACTGAATTTGTCTTGAACAATGCCTTTTTCTTAGAGTCCTTCAATCTTTTCTAAAATTCTCTGTGTCATAGATTCAAATGTGTACTTTAAGTTTTTAACACTGAACACTTTGGGGGTATTTTCGAACATGTGATCGATTTATAAATGCCCAAAGACGGCACAAACCTGCAATTTTGACATTTTGGCAAATTTTGAATATCTATCCAAAAAATGTATAAGAGGGACATCTTTAAGCAAAGCCAAAAATTCTGCGAAGTAAACCTATCTACTTTTTTAGAATACATAATAATAATAAATAATCCATTTTGGTCAGAGACGTCATCGAATGCAAAAACATGTAGTAAACAATAGTGTCGTCATCAGCAATATGTATGGCTAAATAACAATTATATTTAATTGAAAAATGTTGCTAATTAGTGTGAGAATAATAAATAGATTCTTATGCAATGTATTCGTTTGTAAGTAGTTTTTAACATCTTTTGTTGATTTTGACCCTGTGAGTACGAATAAGAAAGTGGAAATTGACCTTATCTCTTTGCTAAGAAACTAAATGACAATATACCTTGTAGCCAACTATCATTTTGACTTTTTATTTTGATCTATTTTTGAGGAATTTGGTGTTGCTGACAGATCTTTGATAGCCTCTTTTAAATTGTCTAGCCTACGGGAATTTAGCGCTTAACGTTTTTAGTTAAAATAATCTATATTGTTGAATCTCATAAGTTGACCTCTAAATGTCTTTTAATATTTTGTGTCATTGAGTTGATGTTTCAATGACGAATTTCCGACATCTCAGACAAATTAAGCGATATGGTATTATGATGCTCGTTTAAATAACATTAAAAATACAATATATACAAATCCGACTCCTTTTAATGCTTACAATATTTCGTTAAAAACCAAATTTAGGTATGACATCGCTTAGTTTTAGAGTTATGTCATTAAACAAAATCAAATATCGTAATCAAATGTGTTTTTATTTTATTTCCAGTGAATTAGTCTTCATAACGTTCTTCATTTGTCAGATGTGCACACACCACAAGGGTTGAAATATATGTAGAAATACTGTTTTCACTTGGACTTCTCCCGTTCCGGCAGTAAAACCCTTGCTAAAGTGGTGCGTCCGTTTGGCTGTGCGGGATGTATGAATACGCAGTCACGTCAGGAGAGAATGGGGAAGTTTACAGAATTCGATGTCTTGTGTAGAGAGAGAGAGAGAGAGAGAGAGAGTGCGCGCTCTCTGCATGTTTAAGAACCATTGTAACAACTCATCTTGAGGGATTGTAGGTCAGTGTCCTGATGCAAGCAAGCAAATATTTCTGTCCCTAGCCAACATGCCCTCATTCTCCGGCCAGTGGCAGTTCAAATATACCGCCCTTCATCCGTTTGACCCCATATACCTCGCATAAACTACCTTGTTATGTGTTGTATTTTCTTCTCGCCCTGAACATGCATGTAACATTTGCCACTGGACGTATCGCAAACAACAAATAATCAATCCATCAATCAATCAGATAGTCACACATATGTTATATTTAAATCATTTTCAGGAAATGATTTATTCTTATTGTTAATCATTAAACAAACAACTTAATCATGTTAATAAAGTGTTTTTTGTCAATTATAAACGCCTTAAAGTGTGTTACAAAGGTAACTTTTTAATGTTGGACCATCCCAACTTTCATTTAAAAAGAAAGAACTTTCAGAATGTATAGAAAACAATTCTCGGCACAATGAATTCAATCAACTGTATTTGAGTTGGCATTACAATTTTATTTCAGAATATTGTGTAGATAATTATATCCATTAAAGGTAACTTGATGCTGACTAAACGGAAACAAAACATGTATATTGCGTATTGTTTAACATTTTATAATTCCAAATCGAGACTGTCATTTCTATTTCTAAACAAATACCTCATTAATTAAAGGTACAGTTACATATTTTGCAATTAATGCTCAAGTTTTATATTTAAATCTGCTAATTTTAAAAAGGATTTCGCCCGTTAACGTACAATTATTGTTCAACTTATATTGGATGAACTTAAATGCAATCTATAAATATGTGCATTTACGACAAACAAGCAAAATACAGGAGTATGTTACACATTTTGTAAATTAAAATAGCTCAATATGTGAAAAGACCATAAATTATTGACCAATCAAAGCATATTTCATGAGAATTGTTTCTGGCAATTTATGGGCTTGTTGTTTGATTTCGTCTTTTCGACTGAGTAGGATGTACAACAAATACCGTCAGCAACATCCGGTGGAAATGAGGGAAATTAAATGTGATTTTCCGTGTAGAGAAAACTGTAGTATTTTTTTCCTCGATGATACCAACATTAGAAAAATTAGCCATGGCACTTACTAAAATTTATAAATCTGGACAAAACAGTGTTATTCTTAATATTAATAATTCATTATCCTGTATTGGAAATTGATGTCAAATGGTGGCATTGCCATCTTCCAAGAGAGCAACCGTCATTTTACATAAAATTTATGAAAATTTGGAAGCCTTTTCGAATACTTCTCAAGAAAATTTCCATGTGTCGTCGATATCAAAATTTAAATTGTAAATATACACACTGCGGTTATTCCTTAATAAAATAAAAAAAGAAAAATACTTTATACCCTAACATCCAATCTCAACGATCCAAAGTTGACTTCCTTCATCTTCCTTGGGTTAACAAAATGCCAACCTAATGCAAGGAAAACGAAATACTACTGTTTTCGGTGTAGGGAGAATGACACGCTCGCTTCACGCTAAGGAATCCCTGTAGCAATTCTATGATGGGTCTGCAAGATAACCTGTTGTAAGGCAACCTATCCAATATACCCTTTATTGTGGCAATCCAATGTTTCCCACTACCGTCACTATATATCTTTACTTAACCTACTAGG